CCCTGGATGTGAATGTGTGGGTAAGAACACAGGAAGAGCCATCTGGTACAGTATACCATTGTGGCTAACCAAATGCCCATAGGAAGCCCACAACCAGGATAGGAGGCCAATAGTTCTCTCTAGAGTAACTCCACAACTCCACAAAAATACACCTTTTGTGGAAGGAGGAAAAAACTGCTTCCAGGGTTAAAGCAGCTCTGTGTATGTGTGTTTTCTTTCCCGGACATCTGTTTATCTAGTGCAGTTCACCCATTGGTTGCTCCTGTCCCACCAGGTTTCTCTCTCTCTCTCTCTCTCTCTCTCTCTCTCTCTCTCTCTCTGTACATGTGTGTGGATGAACACATTGATCAGTATCTGTTTCAGTTTCTCCTTTTCCCCATTTTAAGTTCACCAGATTCCCTCATCAGTTTGCTGTTTTAAAAAGTCCTCATGAAAACCCACCAGCCTTTTAATAGTGTGCATTTCTCCTAAAATACACATTTTATATGCAGTTTCACCTAATATATATGTGTAGGCAGGCAAGTTTCCCTCCAACAATGCATTTTTGTATGCTTTTCTAATGTATATATGAAATAGAGAATAAAGTTTATTATGTTACACACACACACACACACACACACATGCATACAAGCAAAAATGCACTTATTTTAAATCTTACAGTAACATCTTAACTTTGCTTAGGGAATGTATTCAATTTTCTAGTGAGCTATGGTTGATTTAAAAAAAACGACCAACTGGAGTAGAAAAGGCTAAGGAGCAAGCGTAGGGTTGCCATATGTCCTCTTTTTTCAGGACACGTCTTCTTTTTCATGGGTATGTAAAATGAATCTTGTCATAGCAACCCAAAGTTAAAAGTAGAACTTGGCAAATGTGTCCTCTGTTTTGCTCTTCAAAATATGGCAACCCTGAAGAGGGGTTCTTGAAATACCTTTGTACTCAGAAAGCACTGAGGATGCTGAACGTGTTGCTCCTACTATAGATGATATAAAGTGTAAGACAGAAGTTTCACAAATTGGAGATATTTGTGGAAAACACACAGAGGAAAAAGAGGATGTCAAGAAAAGTGAGAGGCACTCAATGGAAGACACTCCATGCCACCTGATCCTAGAGTGACAGCAATGTGTCAAGAAGTACACCCAAAGTACATACCTGCTCCTTCAGAGGGAGTGTAACCCCATCAAGAGCAGGCAGCCTTCCATCCATCCCATATAGGGAACTGCCCACTAACAGTGCCTCAGTCTTATCTGGATTGAGCTTCAGTTTGTTGGCTCTCACCCAGTCCCTTACTGAGGCAAGACACTAGTTCAGCACATCCACTGCCTCACCTGCAGATGTAAAGAAGTGGAGAAGTGGAGCGGTGTGCCATCAGTATACTGCTGACAAGACACTCCATGATCCTACTTAATGGTTTCATGGGGGAGTACAATTGAACCTTGAGGAATCTTGCATTGAAGACTCCACAGAACCTTAACCCTCGGCTCCACAGAGCATCCCCCTTTGGAAATGGCCTTGCAAGTAGGGCTGGAATCGTCACAAAGCAGTGCCAGCCACCCCCAACTCAGCCAGCCGCTCTAGAAGGATACCATGGTCAGTGGTATCAAAAGCCACTGAGAGGTCAGGGTAAATTAACAGGGACACATTTCGCCTCTCTCTCTTCCAACAGAGGCCATCCTATAGGGTGACTAAAATAGTTTCTATGCCAAAAGCGGGCCTTTTATAGGGAGAAACACGGGGGCTGAGAAAGAAGCAATTTGCACAAGGCCAGTCTACAATTTTTTTAAAATGTAGTTAATGTTAAACTATTGGGAATATGGATAGGGAATTTTTTTATTCATTTCCCTTTAAAAGGCAAACCTACTGAATTCATACCTTCCGAAAAAATATGCAGGCTGAAAGAGCCATCTTTTTGCACTTTTCATAATTTTGGAATGCAGTTTTCCAACCACGTCATGTTTACAAAAATCCATATGCTTAGTTAAGCTATGCATAAAAATGAGTGAAAATAATATAAAAATGCATTGTATTAGGCAGATTGCTTTGCAGAAATGTGTATTTTAGGAAACACTCACAGTAAAATGCTGAATGAGGATGTTTTCGGGGGGAAATCCACAAACTGATGTGGAAATCTGGCATACTAAATTTAAGATTGGATAACATGAGAAACTAAGAGAAACTGAAATTGATGGATAGACCCATCCTTGGTTGGGGGACAGAAAGACATATGATGCAGCTATATTTTTGCAGCTAAGCAGGCCTATGCAGGCAATCTCCTACCGAGTAGATCCCAATGCACCTTTTGCCCTCCCGTTTCATTGTATATGGCGTCCCCAAGGTATCTTCTCATTAGAATTAATTTGCCCATACATTGTGGTCACATCATGAAAGTACAAATATTTTTATGGATTTTAAAACCTTCTTTTGCCCCATGGGCAATCTTTGGATTTCATTGGCATTTGGAAAAATGTCATAATCATGTGGTCTCTTGGAAAAACAACATGCTTCTTGGTACGTGATGAGCATTATCGGAATGTTCTTGGAAAATTCCTCCCCACCCACCCCCAACGTCCGCGTTTTTTTACTTTAAATACCCACCCACAGGGAAACAAAATGATCATTAGCCCACACATTGGAATGCACAGGGTGCAACAATTTGGAACAAAGCCTTTGGAAATAACAGGAGAGGGAATTAAGCAGCGAACCAGCCTTCATGAATCATATGCTAACAACAATGAGAGACATCGCATATAGAGGACATGAAAAAGTCACGTTGTGACTGGCAGTAAGGCAGATGGCTTTATTTGCTCAAAAATAAATGCATCTGCTAATATTAGCCATAGATGGCTACTGACCTCTACATGTCTTGGCTAAACATCATGGCAATGAAAACTTGGCAGATGCTCACTGAAGAAAATGCCACACAGACGCCATTTAACACCCCATGACTTTGGGTGGCAGGCATGTACAGAACAAAATTAATACATCCATGGTATTAATTCAAATGTAATATATTTAACAGTGTAATCTTATATGTATCTGCTCAGAAGTAAGCCCCATTTACTTACTCCCAGTGGGACTTACTCCCAGGTAAGCAAACTCTACCAGCTCTGTTTCCCCACTGTTACTTGCTGAAGATACAGTCATATAGAGACATACACAATTCAATACAGTTTAACTTGTTTTTATTACTATTGGGTTTTATAAACAGGAATAATGTTATACAAATAAGTATACCAAGTTTTCTCATGAATAAGAGAATCTGACACAGTTAATGTTCTTAAGTCTATTAACACAAGTGGATGAAAATTCCCAGGGAGTTGGGACTCCATATCTTCTGCACACTTGCTTTAAAGAGATACCTGCATAATCTGTCATAAGTGGGCCAAGGCCGGTATACTTATTGGCCCACAAGTTGACAGACCAAGTGGAAAAGACTACTGTCAGCTCTTCTGACAGCTTACAGCTCTGTCACTGTTTCAAGGTGAATGTCAGTACCAGCCAGAACCCAGGACTAGTCAAGGCAATTTAGACTCCAGCCCAAAATTTCCATCTAGATAATGCCACAAGTGTTTATTCTGAACCACAAAAATTCAAGGAAAGGGCAGTTGTTTAGTCTTTGCTATCTCACGCCAATGTCTAATAACTTCCCTAATAGTACTCTACTAACCAAGGATGGAAAATAACTTGGACAACTGAATATGATATAAGGGAATCCATCATTTATCACTTCAGCAATGTACGCATGAAATAGTATTTGCAGAAGTAGCTCAAGGGAAGGTAGTTGATGAAGGCATAACAAACCAAGTCTGTGGCCGTGTTGTATCACTCCAAACGCCAAAACAAGAGGAGCTACTAACCTCATGCTACTAAAAACACACACGTAACTCTATGCTGTTGTTTGTCTTTATTTGCTATAATTTTAAAACACTTTGCCTACTTTATGAGATTTTTTGTTGCAGCTGTTGGACAACACTTGAACCCCTGATACATATCTCAACAAAGGTGATGCATTGCCCACTTTGAACAAATGGAAATAACAAATTGAGGGAAAGTGGCCCCCCACCTACCCAGGAAACTAGGGGGGGGCGGGTTGCAGAGGAACAATTTTCAGCAATTTTGTGTGGGGAAGTGAAATTCTTCAAGAGATTCACGGGTGGTAGCAGCTTTTCTTGTTGAACTTTTCTGTGTGTGTACCACTGTAGGCACTGCTCTTCTTAAGCTTCCATTGAGTTTAACTGAGCTGGCACGGGACCTTTGCTCCTAAGATTCTGTACTAAACTAAAAAAACAAGAGCATTCATAGTGGAATCAATCTTCCCCAACAGTAAGCTCCCGAGGGGGACATGTAGGCATTCCTATCACAAGAAAAGAGGCAGCCTCAGTCATGTGCTTATTTATTTCCTTAAATTCTGAAAAGCACCCAGACATGTGATAAATTATGAAGTGTGATGTTGCCACAATACCCGATTTCAAAACATTGGGATACTGACTTGGAGGAAACTCTGTTGCTGACTGCATTTAATACAGCGAGGTTGTTTGCTGCAAAAGAGGCCAAAACATCTGCCATAATCTTGTTTAATTGGGATTGGCACAAAGGGAACAATCCTTTTGGTGATAGCTCAGAAGTCTTCTGTATTGTATATGTGAAGTTACATCTGTCTGGCTGTGAAATGGGAGGCTATCATACCCCAGACGGAGTAAGGCAGGCATGGCCAAACTTGGCCCTCCAGATGCTTTGGGACTACAATTCCCATCATCCCTGACCACTGGTCCTGTTAGCTAGGGATGATGGGAGTTGTAGTCCCAAAACATCTGGAGGGCCAAGTTTGGCCATGCCTGGAGTAAGAGCTAAATATCTGAGGGTACTTTCTCTAGGGATAATATCATGCATTGTGTGCGAAAAGTAGGCACACGTGGGGGCAGGCAGATTTCCTGCCAGCACATACACTTCCCCATTTCTAGACTGGTGTTTTAAAATTTCCCAGACCTACGACAAGCTGATGAGGCAACACCAAACAAAGTGGAAAAGGATTATTCACCCGGACTTGCCTTTTTAGAGACACCCCGTGTTGATCCAGGTTGGCTAGACTAGGTTGTGAACTTTTGATGAAAACAGTTTTCTCTAGTGGTTGCACTTCTTTTCCTGCTCTACAGTATCCTAAACTGATGGTGCCTGACGGGCATTAAATCTCATTGCAAAGTTATTGAAACATGAGCTTTGTAATACATATTTAATCCAGTAGATGAGTGAGATGAGAGAAGTGACTATCTATTGCATCCTCCCCAGCCTGATGCCCTCCAAGTGTTTTGGACTATAACTCTCATCAGCCCCAGTCTGGAGGGCACCGGGTTGGGGAAAGCTGATCTTCTGCATACCGTGTGTTTGCCTCTGACAGGCGCATCCTATTAATTTATTTCTGCTTTTGATTTGATATACAGAGGGCATCAAGTATCCAGTCTTTCTCACTTCTTTACACTTATGCCATTCACTCTGACTGCTGCACAGATAGAACTGGAGTTATATTAAATTATTTGGCTGCAACATTGTTCTTCAGATAGTTGCACTCAGATGGGCATTGTTTGCTCAAACAGCAGATTATTCATTTTCCCCTATTGTGAAAAGTTTTTTGAAATGTGCCAAAAACGACCTCCTCAGTATAACGATGCAATAAATCACGCACAACATGATTGCGAACTATTGCTTCTACTTATGTCTCCTTTGTGAAACCACAAGGGAGCTAATTTAGCAATGGTATAAAATAGGCACAGATCCCACTGGCTTCAGTATAATACAGACCTATCCCTTGTACCAGTTTCTATTTTGCCCTAAAATGGATTCATCTCTTGCTGGGCTGTGAGGTATCAGTATTTTAAGTGAACTGCAACTAATGCAGTATGCACAAATTTATACCAGTTAATGCCAAAACTGATATTTGCATCCGTCAATTCAGACATAATAGTGTACATGTTTTCTTTTCCTATATGGAGATGGACTTTGCATAGGAAAAAAGTCATGTGTGAAGCAGCCTTCAGAGGACACCAGACCATTCACTATAATTTAAATACTGTGCTCACTAACATTTCCAATCCAGCGCTAAACAGCCTCCTAAGAGCTGACTTCAGAGTTTACATTTTCTGAATTCCCCTTTCTTTTGTCTGAACTGGAGTACTAATCAGATATTGCTGTACTGTACATATGAAGTTCTTTTGCTGACATGACTTCCATTTTGTTATGGTCTTGTGGTGAAGTGGTATTTTCATCACTCTGGCAGGGTCTGAAGTGTCCTCATTCTGCTTACTGTTAGTCCCTCTGGTGTTTTGTCTAGATGACCAATCCTGCACAAGGAAGGAAGCCAAAGAATGTTGCTAATTCAGCTGCTGCTCTTAAGTTTTGCCATCTCCTAAAAATGAGCAGAACATCTGAGAGCTGCTTGGGGCAAGTGAGGAAATGTGTTTTAACAATTTAGCAAGAGCTACTTACAACACCTCATCATTCAAGTAATGGAATAACATCAATTGCTGGGTACAAAATCTATAGCAGAATAGCAAAGTAATCAACAAGATTCAATGTTTGAGCTGACTCAAGCTTTTAGATAGAGATTAAGAGACAAAAGGGATGGTTTCAAACAACTTTAGTCTCAAAGAAAAATAGCAAAACCAACAAATATCTTTGTAGCACCTTGAAGACTAACTAACATGATGACATTAGCTTTTGTAGAGTAGAGTCTGATGAAGTCTCTGGTCCGCAAGACTAAATTGGTTAGTTCTGAAGGTGCCACAATGTTACTTGTTTTTGTTGCTGCAGACTAGCACAACTACTACTTGGTAAATAGAAAGACAGAAAGATAAAAGAGAAGAGACAGTCATGTGTTTGGATTATGAGTCTTGTACACCATTCAGATGTGTTGTCTTATTTGATAAGCAGCTGAAATTCCTTGGCTTCATACTCTGAACAAGATCCATTTTCCCCCAGTAAGATCCCTGTAATTCCTGCCTCGTATCACGTTAAAAGTACATATTGTCACACACAAAAGCAGACAAAGAATACAAGAAATCCCAAAGTAAAAACATTTCCGATTTGGTTGGGGCTTTTGAAGAAGGTTCAGAATATTAAGAACGGGGACTACCGGCTTGGCGCCATTGGCAATGGCGGAATTCCTCTGACCGGGAGGAATTTGCCACGTGGGAAATTGGGTCTGGCCGCCACGGTGAAGGCGGAGACCCATAAAAATCACAGGCGCGAGAAGCCTGTGAATGTGGGATTCGGCGGGCACCTTCTGCGCCTCCCCTACTTGCAGGGAAACCCATTTTCGGGGCTCCGGAGCGACGTGGGGTGAGTGGGGCGGTGCTTCGAATTGTCTGCTTCTTCCACGGAGCAAAGCCGCACAGCCGTTGCTGGAGAGCGCTGACTTTTTCCTATGGACAATTTGACTTTAAAGTAATTACCCGTGAGTAGAGCTGAAACGGGAGAATTGGATTTTTTAAAACAGGAAGTCCGCCTCCCCCTTTTGTAAATAGACTGAGGCAATGAAGTTGCAAGCTGGAGTCCTCGAAAGTCTTTTGTAAAAGATTAAATTTCCATCGGTAAAGAACAACCCCCCCCTTTGGAGGCAGGAGAAGAGGGGGGGAAGTTGTGGACTGAATATGCCTGCAGGAGAGAGCGAAGAGATTTGAAACACCGCCGCTCTGACCCTGGAAACGGGCTGCTAGTAGGACTGACGTATTTTGGAATGTTCATTGACAGTGTTTAGAACGTTCATTGACAGCTAGTTAAACAAGAGAAATACATTGTTTCTACTGTTTCCGGCTGCTATAAAAAGGAGTAAAAGTAACTGAAAATTCAAACTAACTTGAAACTAATTTTCGGATTGTTTAAAAGAGGATATTATTGACTATTACAAATAGAAACTGTTTCCCCCTAGTGGAAGCCTTTGAAACCGGTTGCTTTACAAGAGTTGGGTTAGGGAAATTTCCAGCTGCAAGTTAAAAACCGTGAGACTCTGGGACTGACCTTGAATCTTTTAAGTGTTATGGTTAATGGAAGAGGAAAAACAGACCAGTCAACTGCTGACAAAACATTAAGGTCTGGGAGGACTTGGCAACAATCCAGGAGAGGTCCATCATCAGGCCCCCCTGCTTTTTTTGTTGCAGCCTTTGTACCAGTATATTTAAAACCAAGAGAAATGTTGACAGAAGAGGCTCTAGTGGCTGCATTATTTAAGATAAATGATTCATTGGATCAGCTTCACAGGAAAATGGACACGATAAATGCGAAAGTGGATGTTTCAATCATTAAAACTAATTTAAATATAGAAAGTATAAATAATACTAATATAGAAACTACCCAGAAATTGACACAGGAACCTATTTCGATACAGCAAACTGCAGAGGAAATTAGGGAAAAACTGTTGTTGCTGAATGTAAAGAAACACAACTGGAGAGAAAGAGCAAGAGAGCCCCAGCCCTACAGAAGCAACTTGATGAATATAAGTTGACGCTTGCTATGACTGAACTTAAAGAAAAACAGACGAATTTGAGGATTAGAGTTCACCTTTGGTGGACATGCCCAAGGATTAAGACACTTTGGGAGATGATTCATAATGAAATGAAAAAGGTATTTAAATATACCTTTTTGAAGAAACCAGAGGCCTTTCTCCTGGGCATGGTCGGCCAATTGGTGTTAAAGAAGGATAGAACTCTTTTCACGTATGTAACAATAGCAGCAAGAATACTCATTGTGAAGTACTGGAAGACACAAGATTTATCTATCCGGGAAGAATGGCAGATGAAGTTGGTGGACTATATGGAATTGGCGGAAACGACTGGCAGAAATCCGAGACCAGGGAGAAGAGTCGGTGGAAGAAGACTGGAAAAAGTTTAAGACTATTTATAGAAATATTGTAAAAATAATGAATGTTAGAAAAATGTTGGAATGAAGTTATATGGCTTTAGTAGAACTGCTATAAGGAATTAAGTATAAATAGACTAATAGAGTATTAAAGGGAAAAATAAGATTAGAATATGTTAAGATAATTATAGGATAGAAAACAGAGGAAGATGGAAAGGAATTGCTGAAACAATTAATAGAAGTGGAATACAAAAAGGGAGGTGTGAGGAGGTCGTGGAAATAAGGGAATGAAAGTTAAGATACTGAAATTGTTTTGTGTTTTAAATGGTGTGCGTCTTATTTTGTTAATCTTATGTTTTTTCTTTTCTTTTCTTTGCTTTTTCTTTTCCTTTTTGTTTTGTTTTATTGTGTTTAAATGGTTGGAAAATCAATAAATATTATTTTTTTTAAAAAAAACCAGAATATTAAGAACGACTATTTTGCTTGAGAATGTTCCTTTCAGAGGGGACTGTAGTGTATCCTCTACTGATGTGAGTATGGAGGAGACCTTTCTGTTTGAGGTGACCTTTCAGTTTGCTTGCCCTAAGACTAAGAAGCAGCAGGACCAAGGTAACTTCAAGAACCTTCTTGATTATGGAACAACAGAAACACACAGAGAGAAACCTATCAGGTTGAATTATACAAACTAACAACTAGGTATGGTGGATAAATTCAGTTTGGTTCACATTTTAATACAAACAAACTGAATACACACTTATGGGTGCAACATGAACAAAAAGACAGTTATCCCTCAAAATTCACACTTCAACCAGAAAATGTGCATGAAGTGCAGGGGTTCCCAAACTGAGGTCCGGGGTCCACCAGTTGCCCGTGAGCTTCATTCAAATGGTACGTGGCCTGTCTGTAAAAATACATTTAGCAATCATACATCAACTAGCATAGCACATGCCAATTGCTACAATGGGCAGGTAAGTTATTAAGTGGCCCACCAAGACCCTGAGCAATTTTCAAGTGGTCCATGGGTAGGTGGCGGGTTGTGTGTGTGTGTGTGCTTTAGGAACCTTGAGCTCCTTGGAAGAACAATGGGATAGAAATATAAGACGTAAATAATAATAAATAAAAATAGCTTGCCTGATCCAGCCAGTCATTCCTCACCTAGCAGCGACCATTAGCCACCTCTCATTTGTACGTATGTAGGAAGAAAGGCAGGTTCTAAATGGAGTAAATGAAAGAATGAAGAAGAAAGCGTTCTTTTCTGTGCATTCATTCCTTTTAAGCCATTTTGCAAGACTGAGATCATTAATAACAGCCCTGAAAAAAGGATGAAGAAATTAAACCTCTTTGTTATAGTAAAACTGAACCACTCCATAAGTAAGTTTTCTTTCCTGTTATACTTCTATTTTTCCTCTGTGCTGTACATTCACCCATTGCATCTGGACTGCTTTAATTCTGACATTATTTCCTGGAATACCTAAAGGATGTGTCTTATGGAATATACATTGTGGGAAATGTTACTAATACATATTTTTTTAAAAATCATTTTCTCTCTCCCCCCCCACCCTAATTTCTCCTGCTGTACAACAACAGAAGGACACCATGTCCTCAGTAATTCTTGGGAACAGAGGACCCTCTGCACTGGAGTTGTATTTGTGTTTCAGCCTACCAAGAAAGATAGACAAAATTATACAATCGTCTGGTTTCAAAAATGCTTTCGAAACACTGCAGATATTTCTGTGGTATTCACTGGATTCAGACTATACCAGCCACTGTTGAGCTGCTTTGCTCATCACAGGGATTCAACATTTTAAGAGAAAAAATCAAAATAGTTTCTGTGAGTGCAGCAAGGGAAATATTTAAATCAGACCTTGAGGCAGTAGAGGCTGATCTGTTAGAGCAAATGGAGCCATGCCCCAACAACCACAGTCTGTCCTCGGCCAGCTTCTACCTACCCACCTTCTTGCTAAGAACCAAGCCCTTGTAAAACTCATCATTGCCTCTGGCTCCCCTTACTGTTGGTTTTCCTGCTTCCTGCCCTACCAGTCCCAATTGGCACCAGCTGCCACTGCTATGGGGGGCGGGGGGCGGGGAAGAAGTAGAGCACCTAAAAGTGAAGTCGCTTCCTGTTCTAAATCTGCAATCTAGCATCGATTTGGCTGCTACTGCCCTTCATTGATTATTAAGCAGCAATGAATTAACACACATTTACATAATCTTTTTGTGTGGGTGGTGGAGGTTTTGCTGAAGTGGAGCACCTTCTTGCATTTGCGAAATGCAGGCTGCTGATTTTTACTGATCCCCACTACCCACTAAGCCCCAACCAATAGGCATCCTCACTGAGTTGCTACTGTTTGTGCATAGGTGGTGGGGTCCCCACTTTGCGTGAACCGAAGTACTCCTCACTTGTGCAAAAGCATTTTTGGATACAAGCCAATGTGGTAGCAGTATGCATAGGAGCGTTCCAAATAATTCAGGTAGCCAACCCTGGTACCTCCTTTGATAAATGTGTAATTAAAACCTGTTCTCTTTCTCTTGCAGAAACCACAGCAGAAAGCATGTTAACACGTCCCTTAAAACACAATGGAATGTTAAGCTGTTTTGAGGTTTGCTGGTTTAAATTATAGCGTTCCAGCTGGTGAAGTGTGGGAAAATAGAGGACTCCAGCAACACAATATACTTTCCTCAGACTGGGTATGTAAAATACAGTGTTTACCCGAAATTTGGATGGCAACTAATATTGAACAGGGCATGTTGTTATCATGATTTAAGACAATGATAGCCATATGTCCTAAATGCGAAGAATCCGCACACAGATTGCATCTGTTTAGCAACAAGCACTGACCATTTGACTCATTTGTAACCTGGGACCGATTATATTTCTTTCTGTTGGCGTTTTATTGAAAAGGGAAACAAATGGCTATGAGATAATTTCCCCAGAAAACATGCAGGGCACTTTGGAACTTTGCTGTTCTGTTCTCAGCCATCTTGCGATGTGAACGGTTTCATTTCTTTAAAAGCTCACTTTAGCATGCCCGCCGGGTGGCATGCAGAAAGTTCATTTGGGTGAATATGTTGTTACTGTGTGGGAAAAATACCTCGCTATTAGCAGTCCTCTTAAAGTTCATAATTACAAGGAGCCCAATTAGTTTAAACAGTCTTGGAAGGAGGAGAATCATGGACACCAATTGCAGCTCAGAAAAAACTTAGCAAATGCCGTATGGGTGATTTGTAAGGCTGTAGTAGGGGAACTGTAGGCAAGCCTGAGTGGATCTGAAGCCTTGAGGGAAAAGGAATTCTACAGCCCTTGTACTTTCCATGACAAAGCACAGGGAAGCTTCCCAAATCAATAAAGTCTGCAAAAGGCCTTTTTAGCTTACGAGGCCAAATATCCGTCTTCCCCAAAACCCCAGTGTTAAATGCAAGTAAGATATGAACTGTAAAAGAAGCATATAATTTACATTTAATACTGATGCTTTGGGGAGGGAAATTTAGAGAATTAGGACTTGCATCACACACACACACACACACACACACACACACACGTACCATTGTTTTCAACACAAAATTCTAACCCTCCACCATACTACTGAGATGGTGTGGGGAGATGGGGCTTTTTCTAATAGCAAAAACCAGGAACAGTAGATTATCTAGAGTATTTAAAACTGAAAACTGAGCACAAGCATATGGGAGTTCCATTCTTTGTTGTTGTACAAGGAAACCAAACACAACATACTTGACACTCAGATTCAGCTACATTAGGAAAGAAACAATGATTTGAATGCTCTGTAAACATGCAGCACCAGATGGCGCCAGAGAGCAGAAAAAAATTATACACGATTTTCCATAGGGTTCTTTTTTCTTTTGTTATAACGATCCTATTTCTGACTTTTTTATAGCGTTTTCTCCCCTGTGTGTAGATCCATCCCAGGAGTGGGCAAACCAGAGGCCTGTAGGGACCGTATTCAGAGCATGGGACCTCCCAACCTGGCCTGCAACATCCCCTTCTTCTCCTGCCGTACTGTACTGGAGTCAAAAACAATAACATTTTTTTAAAAAATAAAACCGAATGAGTCAAGTTATGCTAGAATAAATGAAAGGCTACAATTAGTCAGATTTTTTAAAATAGTAGATAATTTGTAGCCTTGATACACAGTGTTAAATCCAAGTGGGGTCCTAATTTAGAGGCCAATCTGCAGCAGCCGGGGGAGGGAGGGGCTTGAGGAGCAGACCTGAGGGGCGCAGTCTTCCCTCAGGTCCACTCCCCAGGCATAAAAGTAGGCCGGGGCTGCCCTAAGCAGATGACATTTTGCTAATGTAGCTGTTTAAAACTGAGCAGAAGGAAACTGTTAAAGTAAAGGGACTTTCATGGTGGGGGCTTTCCCATTGTGACAGGCCAGAACTGGAGCCTGAGCTGTTAGCATCTTTGCTCAGTAGATGTTTCAGGGGAAGAAATAATATTTGGAACATTAGTTCTTGAATGCCCCCTCCCCCCGCCAAATCAGAGACAGATTCAAAACAGCAAAGCAGACATTTTCCAGTTCAATTTCTGCAGACCAGATTTCATATGGTTGCGGTCCTACACTGAAAATACATGACACTCTTGCTGTTCGGAACTGGACCGAACTCCCTAGTTCATGTTAGCAGAGTCAAGCAGTTGGAGTCCAGAGACAAATCCTGATAACACTTTACTGAGAAAAACTCAACAAGACACAGCGTGTAATTTGAAGAGAATGGCCTTCTACGTAGCAGGGAGACACATATGAACAAACATACTTACCCTCAGAACTACAAAGGCAACCAGAGCATGTGAGCATCATACCACTCTGCCTGGTTGGTAAGCAACACCTCCCCTCACTCCTTGGCAGTGGCAGACTTTGGGCTCTCAAATTATAGTGCCGCCCTGTACAACACTAAAATTCAGTGCCCCTCCTGCCTCTCGTGCTCCGTCCTACAACATTGTTGTGGTGCCCCCTGCAGCATGGCACCCAGTACAGGTGAGCCGGTTGTGCTTCCCTAAACCCCCCTCTGCTCTTGGGTAGTTAACACTGGGAGCAGAATTAACCCTTAAAACACCCACACAATGCAAGAGCCCATTCCTGCTCCATATAACACAACAGGGACAAGAAGATTAGAGAAAGCCTGAGGGATTGGTATTCAGATCTTTGCCTGGTCTGCTTCTCTTGGCTCAGCAGTTCTGGTTTCTCTCTTGCTGTATAGCAGCAAACCCGAGCAGAGAGTTGGCTGCCAGCCAGCAGATGTATATTAAAGACTGATAGCAGAACTATTCCCAAGTACTACTTGCTGAGAAATAAATATAGGATTCAAAAAAGAATAATGAATCTGCATTTCCTAAAACATTGGTTTAAAAGCCAACCAAACTGTTTCATAGTCACTGAAGTAAGATAAAATACAGTGTGTTTAGTGTCCTCCATGGTAAAATGATTCGAAATCCTGTGGAACTCATATTATCCAAGCCTCATAAATCTAAGGATCGATTCACCTCACCCTTGCAACATGTTAGAAAGTGGACTGAAGCAATCGCAGTAGTCCTTCTCAGGCTGGATGAGTGCAAGTGTCCATACTCTTGCAAACTCTCTGCAAATGCATGGAATTAATGTTCATGAGATGCACTTCTGGTGGGCTAGACCTGGCCTTCTGGCTTGGCTAGATTTCACCTATGGCTTTTTCTGAAGGCCCACTCCAGTGTAATTCCTGCATAAACAGCATTTCTGTTTATCTTATCCTTTATCTGAATCATGCGGAATGCAAAAATTGTACCTGGAGGAGTAGAAGAGAAGAAGAGTTTGGATTTGATATCCCGCTTTATCACTCCCCTTCAGGAGTCTCAAAGTGGCTAACAATCTCCTTTCCCTTCCTCCCCCACAACAAACACTCTGTGAGGTGAGTGGGGCTGAGAGACTTCAAAGAAGTGTGACTGGCCCAAGGTCACCCAGCAGCTGCATGTGGAGGAGCGGGGAAGCAAACCCGGTTCACCAGATTACGAGTCCACCGCTCTTAACCACTACACCATGCTGGTGTAGTGGCACCTTCTCTCCTGAACTTCTTCTCCAACCATGAATAAAAGTGAACTGAAGAGATCCCTGCCTGTCCATGTCTATATCTGAATTTTCGGTGGTGTCTTAGAGAGTGTAGGTGTAAATTATTGGATTATGTAAGGATTCCCAGTGGTGTTCAAACTTGCCCATTATATGGATGTGACATTTTAAAGTGGTAACAGCACTGTTACATGGTTATATTTGGCACATGAAGCTAAGAGACTAGGTTTACTTCATCCATACATATCTGTTTGGACTTGTGTTCAATTCTCTTAAATCACCAAAGAATAAAATTGTTTGGCTCTTTTCTATTATACACTGGTGTTTATCATATATAAGCATTTGTTTGTTAGTGACTTTCTTTCATTTTCATGCCTCTAGGTATTTGTTTTGAGTTTTACATGGTTGTAAAAATTTATTTAGTTGTACAGTATTTGAGATGTCTTTTCTCTATCCATATTTTATTTCCCAACTTGTTTGCTGTTGTTTTGGCTTTTGAGGTTGGATTACATCCATCTCTTTCTGTTTCTTCACAGGATCCTCTTGATCTTGTAAATTCAATGCCACATTCTAGAGGAGAATTGGGGAGAAGCAGGGGACAGATCAAGGAGGACAGGCAGAAGCCTGGGAGACCCAATTCCAAACTCCCTGTGGTACAATCTGGGATGGGTGGAATGCCATATTTTTTGAACTGGCCGTTGGATGAATGAAGCTACACTGTCAATTTGCCTGCAAAGACTTTCTGTAATCTTCCCACCATCTCTTGCTCCCCACCCCCCAAGTGCATGGCGTTTTTGGCCTGCATATATGTGATTTCCCACCCACCCCTTCTCAAAACATTTCCACAGCAAAATGCAGATTCATTTGTTATAGTTAAGGCTGCATTTTTGTTCGGCCTGTTTGGCAGGCTTCCTCTGCGCTTTCTGGCAGGCAATGGCCAGCTGAGATTTAGCACTAACAAATGGAGGATCTGCTGACACAACAGAATGGCTTTAATAATCTCTGCAGCGAGCGGGACAAGATACTCCGAAGTGCTGCCAGCTCTTCCCATCGCAAGAGCCAATGGGGCTGCGGCTTCCCCTTTCCCTCCCCTGCCTCTGGAGAATGCCGCTCTCTCACTCTCTTGAAGTTTCCACTGACCAGAGAGCTCTCTTGGGTAGCTGGGTTTAATGCAATGAGCTAGAGATGGCCAAGCATGGTAGGAAAAAGTGCCCAATGCCATTCAAGGAAGACAGCGTCGATGTAAACGGAACTCCAAAGAAAGTTCTATAAAATATGGAACCACAGTACACAACATACATTTAAATCACGTTTCTTCTGCTCATCCAAGAATCCTGAGAACTGTAGATTTGCTCTGCGAGGGGTAGACTACAGTTCCCAGCACTGTCTGGGGGAAGAGTTGTGTTATAAAGTATGGTGTGTATGCAGCCAAAGACTGTGCTCTTTATCCTTACAGCTCTCGCTCTCTCATTATATATAACTGGGCTGGAAACGTTCCACATGTCTTTCTTAAATGTTGACACTGACAATTTAAACTAATATAATCTACACCATACATTTAAAGCATCTTTTTGCTAGCCACAACAGCCACAACTTCCACCAAGGAATTCTGGGAACAGTAGAATGCTGAGCGACGCCTCATTGAGCTATAATTCCCAGCGCCTTTAACAAACTACAGTCCTCACAATTCTTTGAGAGTAGCCCTGACTGTTAAAGTAGCATAATGGTGTTTTAAATTTATGGCGTGAATGATTTAAGACTCCTTATGTTGTCTTGGACCAACAAGGCTAAAAGGCCCTCAACATTCAGACTTCAGTTACCATGTCCTGTCAGAGCAAGGAATTCTGCTTGCACAATGGGGACTAGCTGGATGTTGGAAGCAAAAGAAAGGATTTATTTATACACTCCTACAAGATGTAGTGATGGCCACCAACGTAGATGACTGTAAAAGAGGTTTAGATAAATCCACAAAGGGTATGGCTATCAATGACGACTAGCCATGATGACTGCATACTACAGGACTTCCAGAAAAGGGGTATCCAGCAATGAGGCTGCAAGAAAACTAAACGGGGAACCAGGTCTGGGTTAGGCAGCACTCTGCAATCCTTTGTCACAGGTGTGACATTGTGCCAGCAGAACAGACCCCATGCCTGATCCTACCATTGTTGCTGATTAAGCACAATGTAAGAGAATGAGGTAAAACATTAATTTTAACCTGGCTTTCATTTCAGACTATACCTTTATTACACATCTTAACTTGTGTTATTTTTGCCTTTAAAATAGGGTTACCAGGCGTCCCCAGTTCCCAGGGACAGTCCCCAGATTTGCAAATCTTTCCCCGGACAAATTCCATTCCCGGAATGTCCCCACATTTGCAAATCTGTCCCCGGGAAACATGGCAGCGGCAGCCTCAGCAGCCCAGAGCCAGCCTGGTAGTGCAGTTGGCTCTGGCTGGCTTCAGGAGCTGCTCACTGCCGTGGCGCCCACCATTTTTCCTGCGCCACGGCAGCAAGTAGCGAGCAGCTCCTGAAGCCAGCCAGAGGCAACTTCACTACCATGCTGGTCCCTTCTGGGCAACGGCCGCCTGCCTGTGACTCCCGAGCCTCCCCTGATCTGTCAAAACAAAGTGGGAAGGCGGAAGGAGATCGGGGAAGGCTCGGGAGTCACGGACGCGTGGTGCGCCATTGCCCAGTTTTTAAAAAAACCTCTGCGCATTTATGTTTCACAGGGTGTGAAAGAAGGGCTTTGCACCTTTATACAATATGCATTTGTGCTTGGGCCCGGGGTCTTTTGCCTCACTATCCCCACTACTCACTCCCTGTTGCTACCCAGCTTCAAGAAAAAGAAAAGTGTCCCCGGATTCATTGAAAAAAATATCTGATAACCATTCTTTAAAACCCTCAAGCATCAAATAAAGCAATGAATAAGTGTCCATGTCACTGATCCTGCCCTCTCCACAACCCCACACAAACCCTACCCAATGTAAATTACACAAATCATTATCCAAACTTTTTAATTAAAATAATAATTGCTTGGAAGTTCCTCAGAGGAATAGACTTCCTTTATATAATTTCATACTGAAATGAATTACTTCAGGCACCCCCTTTGGTCTTATGACAAGAGTCCTTTTTAGTTCAATTTTCCATTGTTTTAAACCAAAGGCCTCCCACCATTTTGACTGTAGCTTCATGGTTTCCTCACTCAACCTTATTGCCTCTCTTAACTTTTGGGGAGGGGGACACTTGGCCTACTCTACAGAGGACATTCCTCTATTTGAAAGGCTGTCCATCTCTTCCAAGTGCTCTGTCGGATTAATGAGTCACACTGAGGGAGAGTGCGAGGGGGCCTTGAAGCTGGACGACCGAGCAGGCTTTCAGACTTCCCCACCTCAGCAAGAAGAACTCTATTTCTATTATATTATAGTTCCATTCAAATTAAGGTAATTATTTCTAAATGTGGATCTATTCACATAAATTAGCATGTGCACATTTTAAGCAAAAGCACATTTGTTACAGTTATGTTCTCATGCCTTGTAACAGGCAAATTGTCTTGTCTTCTCACAGGTCTTGTTTTCTGTTGTTTAGGTATGAGCTGAGTTAATGGCAAATGAAGCTTTGTTCTGCCCTGCTTTTTCTTTTCTTTTTTGGGGAGAGCATACATAGAGTAGAAGCTAACTTCTCCAGCCAGGCCACATCTTTGAGACAGTTCTCCAAGAGCTGGCCTCCTGGGTCAAAGCTATTTCTCTTTAAGGGACCCCGTGCTAGATATGATTTGGGAATGAATAGATACTTTACACTCATGACGATGAATCACACGAGGTCTCCCTGCACTCTCTGAATGGTGCTTGGATGCCCTCCCTGCACATTCCCTGTGCTCCCTCTTCAGCAAGGCTTTTCTTTTAAACTCTTCCCACTGTGACTTCACTTCAGAAGTTGCATCTAATCTATGTTGACATATGAATATGCATTGACTTGTTACTATCGGGACTGGATGTTCTCTGTCTCCTCTTGCAAAAGGTAGCTCTTGTGCCAGGGAATTCCCAGTGCTTTATGTTATAATTACTTATGGTATATTTATATTCATCTGCTTTGAAAATACTCCTTCCTAGAATCAAACTTTCACTAGGGCTGGGTTGCAGAGGGGAATGGCAACTATGGCACTGGCCTTGGACGGCCAGGATGGCCACGCTATAGCAATCATCATGGCAGCTAGACTGGTGACTGGCAGTGGCCGCTGAGACCAGTCTTGAAAGACCTACATTGGCTCCCAGTACATTTCCGAGCACAATTCAAAGTGTTGGTGCTGACCTTTAAAGCCCCAAATGGCCCCAGCCCAGTATACCTGAAGGAGCATCTCCACCCCCATCATTCAACCCGAACACTGAGGACCAGTGAGAACTGAGGTTACAGGGAACGAGGCAGACGGCCTTCTCAGTAGTGGTGCCTGACCTGTGGAATGCCCTCCCATCAGATGTCAAGGAAATAAACAACTATCTGACTTTTAGAAGACATCTGAAAACTGTGGGGCAGTTATTCCGAAGAAGCAACTTATCATTGTTTAGGGAAGTTTTTAATGTTTGATGTTTTTATTGTGTTTTTAATATTCTGTTGGGAGCTGCCCAGAGTGGCTGGGGAAACCCAGCCAGATGGGCGTGGTATAAATAAATATTTATTATTATTATTATTATTATTATTAATAATAGCAAAGCTCCAGACAGCTACCATTTCCTTCCTACTGCCCTTAAAAATCAAATGCAAGTGGTGACGTTTCAGAGTGCTCTTACTTTAAGGAGTAAGGAGAGGGGCCTTAACGAAATGACTGATCATCTGCTTTGCATGCAGAAGGCCCCAGGTTCTCTCTCCAGAATCTTCAAGCAGGACCAGGAGGGATCCCTGCCTGAAATCAATGTAGTCAGTACTGCAGGAGATGGACCATTGGTCTGACTCAGTGTATGGCAGTTTTCTCTGTTCCTATGTTATTTATCTTTTTTCTTCTTCCAACGTCCCTTTGCTACCTCATTCCCCCTCCTTTGTGTTGTTTACCCCTTTAAACATCTGTTGTTAATTGTGTGCAGGGTAGGTGCCAAACGTCTTAAAGCACAAACTGTTATGCCAGGGAGCTGCACAATACCCCAGGGGCTTATACCCAACATGCTGGCAGCTCTTCCAGTTGAGGGGGAAAGGCTACAGACGATTTCCCTCCAGGGGCGATGACAATGGTGTCTCTGCTATGGTAGCTACGGCACTCTCCAATCCATATTTCAGCCATATAATCTTATCCCATCGCGCCACACCTGTCGTATGTCCAGAAAGCCACTTACAAAATGAGAGGCATCCTATCCTGCAGGCATAGAGAAGTCCTGCTCATGAAGAATCGGCTCCATGATTTTCTGTTCACATGTAAGACAAGTTCTGCTGAAAAATGTAGGACCCAGACAAGCAGCTATTTACAAATGCTCACCTAAGTAGTTATTAACATGGAAAGCAGCCATGATTTTGCAACAGTGTTTTGGAACACCTAGCATTTACACAGTATAATGTAAAGCTATAAAATTT